TCCATAGTCGGTTCCGCCTAACACTCGTATTCCGCCGTCGCGCTTGTGGCCCGTCGCGCCTGCGACCAGTCGCGCTTGTGGCCTGTCGCGCCTGCGACCTGTCGCGCTTGTAGCCTGTCGCGCCTGCGAGCTGTCGCGCTTGTGAACCGTCGCGCTTGCGAATGTCGCGCTTGTGACCCGTCGCGCTTGCGAACTGTCGCGCTTGTGACCCGTTGCGCCTGTGCTTCTTCGCGCTTGTGACCTACGTCGGTAAAGTTATCAGGCTATAGTTCAGGCTATAGCCATGGCTATGGCTATAGTCGTAAGGAATATTGCATTTCGACTAGGAGTACCCTGCTCAGAGGCTAGCAAAGCTGAACGTGAGAAATTGAGCAGGCGCAAAATGGGATGGATCAAGCAGATCAAGCATCAAGGGGATGGATCAAGAGGTTTCAATATTTGAAACAGAGGCCAAAACTTGTAATAATATGTAATAACATGAGAGAAGGGCCCTTCTCTCATGGTAATAAGAATTTGAAATTGATTTTAAAGCTATTCATTCATGGTTCCTGGAAGAACTGTCGAGCGAAAGCCTTTTCCCGCCGTTTTTGTTGTGCTGTGAGTGTCAGGGCGTGTGGTGTGGTGAGTGTGGTGTGGTGGAAGGTCGTTGCAATCCAACCATGGCTCCATTCTTGCAGTTCGATATAGAACGTAGTTGGTGTGGTAAACATTGCGACAAAAATAATAATAAAAAGAATTTTAAATGGTGGTTGGTCTGAAGAGCTGAAGAAGAAATTCGAAGAGCTGATGCCGAAGAGCTGAAGCCGAAGAGCTGAAGCCGAAGAGCTGAAGCCGAAGGGCTGTTTGTGCCGATTGGTCGTAAAGACAAACAGGACAGTCCAGCGTACTTCACCAAAATGGAACGAGAACGCCTTCACAGGTGAATTTTCCTGTTCGGAGCGGAACAGAAGCGGGTGTGAAATGACTCTCGCATGAGACATTGGCCTGCCTCCAACGATAATGTCATCACCATTTTTGTTGAAAGTAAGTACAGCAACCTTAGTGCCTGATAACACGTAAGGTCACCAAAACATCAAACTGACATCAAAATGACGTGACCAAAACTGGTGCAAAAACGCGTCATCTTGACGTCAACATGGCGTTTTGGTGATTAGTGTCTTACATGTGTTCCTTGAATAAAGTATGGATTATGGATATGGGGGCTATCCCCCAGGTAGCAGAACTGCATAATGGCTGCATTTTATGTAAAATGCGTGTTTCAGGCGCCTGAGGCGCATTTTAGGCGCATTTAAGATTGAACATATAACACACTTAGTATTTGGTTTTTGGTGCTTTTGCTAACTGGGATAGATATGACTATGACTATAACTATGACTATTCATATTAAAAGTCAGAGTCATATCTATCTCAGGTAGCAAAAGCAGACGACATGATTATAGGCAGTCTGTTTACAAACATGAAGAACAGTGTCTTTGCGTTCTTCTATGCCTTCTGCTGTTTTGGCTGTCTAATTGATGTTTCCTTGAAAACTGTTTTACCTGGTCACATTTGACTATAATGCATCATTGTTATTTTGTGTGTCTATAGAATTCGGTAGTAGGGGACCAAAGCGCCGGCGGGCCAAATCGAAAGCTCAGGCAGTGGAGCTATCGGGGCGATCCCCTGATGATAAGACATCCACAGTTGCAGCTTATGATGGGAACTTGAGGCAAGTAATTGTGTTTGTGAGGCTCCTCATCCCAGCTGAAGTAGCTCGTCTGACAATACTAAATCCACTATTAATCCTATTTTATAGTCCGACTAAAGTTAAGAACGCAACTAGGCTTCTACGAAGATCTACAAAGATTGTGTGATAGCAATGAAGTGTAAATAAGCTTCATTATCCCCTTTGATTAACACCTTTGATGTGTTTTCTGATTCGGGAGTAGACATGCACGCCGACCCTACTTTTGGCGGCGGCGGCGGCGTGAGGGCAAAATTTAGCCAGCGGCGGCGGCGTCGCCGGCGTTCACGCCAATGGTATCATCGGCGGCGGCGGCGGCGTTTCAAGCGCTTCTTGTTCAAATGAGCGCTAATTTTGAATATGTTGAATTAAAAATGTTAAATTCACAACAATTTTAATGGTCTAGAGCATTATCACTTCTTGTTGGAATGGGTCGGAGTAGCGAGAGGACTGCACGTTTGGTAGCCTGTCTTTGGGCACCAATTGGGCTCCAAAAGTGACGAATTTGGACCGCGCCGCCGGCTACGCCGCCGATAATTTTAACGGCGGCGGTGCGGCGACGCGCCGCAGATTTTTGAACGGCGGCGGCGGCGGGCCAAACTATGTCGGCGGCGGCGCAACGGCGGCGCGGTGTGCATGTCCATTCGGGAGGACCGGAAAAAGGCAGCGTTGGGGACCCCGCGGTTACAAATCATATTATGATTCTGGTTTTAATGGTGTAGAGTACATTCATTGTAAAAAAAAAAAATAGAGGGAATTTTCCCCTCCCCTGGTGGCAACGCTCCATTGCCAGCTAGTGTTCGGTAAATTTACAGACCCAAATAGCCAAGAAATCCCCAGCCCACTGGTGGGGAAATTTACAAGCCAATGTGGTTGGGAAATGAGTCTTTCCAACCCATTCAATTAAATTTACTACGTGGGCACAAAAGGAGTCTTGACTAACTCACAGTCAGCAAATTTCCCATTGCGCGCGTGTGAGGATGACTTTCGTGCTCACCACATGCAAATCTCCAGCCTAGGACAAGGATGGCGGCGTTGCCACACCACTAGCACGGAAATTTTCTCTCCGATAACAGTCCTTAGAAGCAAAGTGCGAGTTTTGCCTATTGTTCTCGGGCCGACTGGACTGTATAATAATCCACCAATTTCCGAAGTCAGATTCAAAAAATTTAAACATCGATCTCAAGAAGAAAACATGCCAGAGCAGCGACACGAGAAGTAACAAAGTACATGGGACGTACGCACGTGAGAGTACCTCTCACAGTAACGAGGTGACGGGGACGTACTGAACAAGACGTCGTTGCGGAGATCTCCCGAGCGTTAGAATTTGACAGATTATTCGGGGGATATGGTTCACTTTTTCGGCAAACACCGATCGTTATCGGGCAAGGTGATTCCTTCTAAATCATTTTGCGTAGAATTAAGTTCCATTACCTGAAGAGAGTTTTAATTTAATAGAAAAAGCTGATTTTGTGGGAGAAGCGCTGACTGAAACACTATCTAGCGGCAGTCAATCGCAGGCTTCGCGTCTGGGTGGTCGAGGTTGAAGAAAGGAGGTGATTGGTGTGGGGTGGTGTAGTGTCAGTGTAGTACTAGTCCGAACCCACGTCTCCTTCTACGACGATCTAGCCAGTCTCGAATTTGTGGGAAATTTGCATCCGCCGCAAGGAGATTTGAAGGCAGTGAGATGCGCAAGTACTCTTTTCTGCCCACGGCCACGGGATTTAGTCGTCGGGTTGGGATAATTCGCAAACGGTGGGTGCCGAACGGACCCTTTCTAGCCCACGTCGGGAAATTGCAGTCAATGAAGTCAGTAAATTCACTTGCGTGGGCAGGAAAGGATCCTTTCACAGCCCAAGTGGCATGCAAAGGCTACTTTCCATTCCAGTAGGTAAATTCCCAACCCATGTACTGCAAATCCCGAACCTTTGTAAATGAAATTACCCCACCCAGTAGCTAGTCGAATAACTAATTGGCTGAGCGGTAGAAAGGCCTATTACTCCAGTGATGATCAAAAAGTTTCGTGTCTGTGTGTCTGTCTGTTTGTCTGTAGTCACAATAACTCGAGAACGGGTTGAGCTAGGTACCTGAAATTTTTAGCGTAGCTTTGTAGCATAAAAAGCAAGAACTGTATTGATTTTGAGCCCTCTAGCTTAAAAATGTCAAAAACTGTCAAAAAATCAAAAACGAAAACCCGAAAATATTACTTCAAATTTTTTATTTATTTAACATCTCTCTAAGACGTAATTCGTGAAAGTAGAGCCCGTAGGGCCAAAATTTTTCCCGTTTGGCTCTACCTCTAACCGTTAAGTCGCCAGAGGACGATATTTACACGAAAATGACCCCAAACCATTTTAATGTTGTTTCTCAGATATTTGGCAGTCTCTGGTGGGGCAACTCGTCAAAATAAAATCCTGGGGGTAAAATTTGTGTCTTTTGGAGCCAAAGGCCTATCTACGACTCTGCATATTGTCCGACCCGGGTGTTAGCGCCGCAGGCCTAGGTAGATGTATGCCAGGCGCGTCGCAGCTTAACAGTGTTTCGTGAGATATCGCGAAGCCTGTTACGCGAGACGTGGTCTGGCGTACATCTACCTAGTATATTTTACATTTTATAGTCCGGCCAGCCAAAGGTGACGCCTGGCTCTTATGGGCGGCTACAGCAAACCCAGGCGTCACCTTTGGATGGCCGGACAACCGAGGCGGCACCTTTGGCTGGCCGGACTATACATTACTGGAAAGATTCACTAAGTTATACTTCACCCGCAATTTTCAGCTTAAAACTTAAGCACTGTATGTATTCGACACCATTTTTGAGCTACAGAGCTCAGATTTAGTGGGGGATCAGAATTTAAAATGCTAACAAAATGTGCATAACTTCTCTTTGGCTGGGCGATAGCGAAGCCTATTACTCTAGTGATGAACAAAAAGGTTCGTGTCTGTCTGTGTGTCTGTTTGTCTGTTTGTTGGCTGGGCGATTAGCGAAGCCCATTACTCCACTGACCGGAAATGTTTCATTCTGTTTGTTTGTCTGTCTGTCCGCACGATAACTAGAGCTAGAATTGAGAGAGCGGTCTGGGAATTTGAGGGTTGTTTTGTATCATAAAAAGACAGATCGAGTTCGAAGATGAGCACTCTAGCTCAAAAACTGACTTTTAAAAAAATCAGAAACCACAGGCTACTAAAAATTGTTTTTATAAAATATTTTTTTCGAAAATTTCGTCCGTTTTGTTCTATCTTGTACCGTTTTGGTGCTATGGGGCATTTATTGGCGAAAAAAGGTGAAAAAGACAAAATGGTCTGTTAAGTCGTAAAAAAACGCTTCATGTCACAGGATTGTTAGAGGAGTAATACTTAAACCACACATTAGGGGTCGTACCACACCCTCCTTTGGGCTTAAGTGTCCCTAGATTATCTAGTGTCACTAAAACGTTGATTTTTACATTACAATATGTCAAAATTCGAGCGTTTAATGACAACCTTTATCGAACAGAAGTAGTTTCCTGTCCCTAATTCCGGAGTGATTGGTTCCCGACAAGTGCTGTATGTCAAATTTTGGGGCCCGAAGGCCCTGTTTCCGTACCTCCTCCCATTTACCCGCCTCAGGTGTCAGCGCCGCAGGCCTAGCTAGATATGCGCCAGGCGCGTCGCAGCGTAACAGTGTTTCGTGAGATATCGCGAAGCCTGTTACGCGAGACGTGGTCTGGCGTACATATAGCTAGTCTGTAATCAAGCAAGAACTGTATTGATTGTGAGCCTTCTAGCTTAAAAATTGACCTGTCAAAAAAAAATGAAAACCGAAAAACCCAAAATATTACTTTTAAAAAATATTTGTTTTACATCTTTCTAAGACATAACTCGTCAAAGTAGAAAGAGCCAATTTTTTGTCCGTTTGACTCTATCTCTAACCATTTCGTCGCCAGAAGGCGATTTCAACACGAAAATGGCCCCAAATCATTTTTATGTTGTTTCTCAGATATTTGCGATGGTCTCTGGTGGGGCAACGCATCAAAATAAAATCTTGGGGGTAAAATTTGCATCCTTTGTAGCCGAAGGCCGTCTACGACTCTGCCCCCTTTTGCCCGACTCGGGTGTCAGCGCCGCAGGCCTAAGAAGATGTATGCTAGGCGCGTCGCAGCTTATCAGTGTTTCGTGAGATATCGCGAAGCCTGTTACGCGGGACGTGGTCTGGCGTACATCTATCTAGAAATTACAGCAACAGTAACCTGCTGCAAGTATTACAGAGTAAATGTTTGCATTATTACAATTATCTATTAAAGTATAATAAAAACGTAGAAAGACGCAGATTTTTAAAGATGCATAATAAACAAATGAACGTAAGCAATGTCGACTTTACATCTGGTTGATAGATAAAATCACATACATGAACAAATACTAGAACAAAAAAAGAACTGGAAAAAAATAAAACAAAGAGGTAGCTTAGAAGTTAGAACCTGCTTAATGTACTGTGAAACCTTGCCGGTGAGGTTTTACTCACTTGGAACAATGGCAGATTTCACATCCCAAATGAATGTGTGACATAATATGTCACACATTCATTTGGGATGTGAAATCTGATAGTGCAGGCGTGGTTGTTGATCTCTTTACCAACTGCACACAGCAAACAGTAGTTGTCGTGCAAACAATTTTGAAGGATTCCTTTATAGTCAGTGCCTGGTTCCCACATCTTCTGACAAATGCGGCAATTGAATTCTATGGAAAAAAGAACAGAACAGTGATATGCGCTCACTTTGGATGTAAGCACTTAACTTAATTTGCTGTTACATACCTTTTTCCACTATCAGAGCTCATTACAATTATATCTTTGGCTGTAGGAAGAAAAGATCTGATAACTGATGATTTTTTCTTCCTACGGACAGCATGAGGCCTTAAGCTTTGACAGCGATATTAATCCATGCGACTTTTAATGGCTCTTCAATAACAACACTGTAAAAAATATTAGTAATTTTACTAGCTACTGGGTGGGGAAATTTCATGTGCAAAGGTTCGGGATTTGCAGTACATGGGTTGGGAATTTACCTACTGGAATGGAAAGTATCCTTTGCATGCCACTTGCGCTGTGAAAGGATCCTTTCCTGCCCACGCAAGTGAATTTACTGACTTCATTGACTGCAAATTTCCCGACGTGGGCTAGAAAGGGTCCGTTCGGCACC